CCATTTTCAGATTGTTTCACAAGGACTGTCACTCAACACAATCACTTCTAATGCACTGACATGAGCACTACAGAGTGTAAACATGGAAGAACAAATTGTGTTTTGCCAACAGAAGCTCTTTCACTGTAGCCATATCCTATTCCTCAATTTCTTAGTGTTTCCATTATTTTGTTCACCCCCTGTATATGTTTCACAGCCTTCAGAACATTCATTAGAGTATAATCACTATTCAGAAGTGAGTGATTAAGGGCTAACGTTAAACTGACCCTCCACAAAGCTCTCATTAGATCCGTAATGACTTACGCTAGTCCCGCCTGGGAATTCGCGGCAGATACCCATCTAGTGAAATTGCAGTGCCTGCAAAACAAGGTCCTCCACACCATCGGCAATTTTTCAAGGCGCATACCAGTTCGCAATTTACATATGGCTTTCAAAATTCTGTACGCATATGATTATATAAGAAAATTATGCAGGCAACAAGCAGAAGTCATGCAAAATCACGATAACGAAAATGTTCGCAGTATGGTCAAGGCAAAGCCCCCACATAGAAAATATAAGAGGCTTAAATTTGTTGGTGGTCAAGCTTATGACTGTTCAAGTGCCATTGTAGCTGAAGATACTGGAAATAGGGCAAAATCTGCTGTACTGAACCTGGAGTGACGTTTAACATGTAAAATGTAAACATCTTTTATATTATGAGAAATGACTTACTACTACAGACAATGACTCTGACAAAAGACAGATCCGTCCTCTTGTGAGAGAGGGCACCACACAATAACAGGACTGTAATTGTCAGACAGTAATAAAATTGCAGCGCATGCAAAACAAGGTTTTGTGCATCATTAGGAATGTTCCAAGGTGCACACTGGTCTGCGACTTGCATACAGCTTTCAGCTTTCCATATGTAAATGATTATATAACAAAATTTTGCAGACAACAAGCAGAAGTCATACAAATCATGAGAAATGAACATGTTCGTGGTATCGGACAAGGTGAAGCCAGACGTAGAAAGTATAAGAGGCTTAAACTTGGTGGTTGTCAAGTTTACGACCATTCAAATGACTAAGCTGCTGTTGTAGCATAAGATATGTAAGTTAGGCATGATCTGCTCTGTAAAGCCTGTACTGACAGAGGACTTGTGTGTAAAGCAAAAGGAAGAATTTTCAATAACATGTTATATATGCAAAATATTCACTTGACGAAAGGCCAAGCGTATCCAAAAGAGACACACCCATCTTCTTGTCACAGATGATGATACATAAGGACTATTACTGCAAGAGTTCAGTTGGAAAGAATCTCTGGTCATGGGCCTCAAGGGGCCTGACACCAAGACGAACTAATTTGCGGTAAACCCCCAGTTGTAAAGTAACTTTGACTTTGACTTTGACTTTGAGATAGATAACTTCTAAGAGATGGAGACGAGATAATTGGCAGTTGCAGCATAGAATTGGATTGAGTGCCAGAGTTGATAGTTGTCAGTTTGGATTGAGGGAATTGACTAGAGTTGTGCATGGGTGGCTGTGACTAGGACCTGGGCACAGTTAGCTGAAGAATCTCCACTGTTAGAAGGCATTGCCAGGGAACGGCTGGATAAGACAGCAGGCTGGAAAAGGCTTAGCGGGTACTGTAGTGAACTGTAAAGTGTGGATATTAGCTGTGGTGTTGTAATTACTTGCTTGTAGTTAGTTGTGAGTGGTGCGTATAAGTGTGCAACAAATCCAATCCAAATCCCATCTATAGTCACAGACCTCCAATGCATGACAGTGTTATAATGCACATTGAAATTTAGACAGCTTATGTAGCATTAGTAATGTAAATGTATGATTATGCTGTTATGTCACTAAATCTCCACATATGTTTTATACAAATGCCACTGAAAGGGTTGAAAGTGCTGTGAGCATGAAAGCATTTGGTGAAGTAAAATATTGTGCAGCATGCAGTCTCTGTCTCTATCACCTGATGTAGATAGAAGTACATCCTTCTCACCACTCAAGGTTGCTCGAGTTGTAACACTTCAGACTTGTATTTGCTAAGTGCCCAGTTTGAATCTTGACTGCTACGCCAGCTATCTGCCATGTGATAATTCTCAGTCCCACTATGCAAATGCCAGATCAGGCTTTGACCGCTTTCTTCTACATCTCTTCTCATTTATTATTTATTAATCATCCTGTCATTTGATTCTGTATAGTCGGAGCTGTGGGTAGCGTCAGCAGATAGACTGCAAATAGAATAGAAGAAAGTAGTCTTCTGGGATTTGGCACCATGTATATGTGGTGTTAACCGACGTTCCTCCGAAACGTCGTTTAACACCACATACAAGGTGTGGCAATAAAGAACCCGGATTACTTTTATGACTCATTTCCGGCCACGTCATTGACGAAGAGGAGGGTAGGGCATTGACCCTTGGACTTCCCTCTACCGTCACACAAAGTTTCATTCACGTGCATCGGTTAGTCTGGCCGCGACCATTGTTAGAAGCGGATCGTGTTTCTGAGCTCCGTCGGAATAATGCTGAGTGCTAATGCAGAACAACGTGCTAACATCAAATTCCTCACAAAACTTGGAAAATCTGCCACTGAAACTTACAATTTGTTGACAGAAGTATATGGTGATCAGTGTCTATCTCGCACGCAAGTTTTCGAGTG